TGAAAAACAGGCTTGGGGCTTAAGAGGTGCTTATGTGTGGTAAGTTGCCAAAGTGCTTTGTTTTGAACGTTCATCAGTATTATAATCAAAAAGAGAAATACGAACGTTAGTTTTTACTGAAATTATCAAATAAAGTCAACATTTCACAGTGTTTACTGAGCTGTGTGGGTTTTGTTCAACTTTTAAAAGATGTTTGAATGGTGATATACACAGTGATAGATGTTAAGGACTAACATTTATAATAAATACATTTGCATTTATTTTGAAATCTTTTCATAGTTCATACAATCATATGTATTGAGATAATTTAATGTACCGGAGGGAGAGGGTGACGAGCATAAGTTTCACTTTCCTTTTTTATTTCAATTCCAACTTTGGTCATGAAGAATATGTTTCTCTGTTGTCCACGTTCATAAAGCATAAAACAACAGCATCAGAGCACGGTGCAGAGTCTCTAGATGAGTTTACAGTAGTCCCTCGTTCTTATTATACATCCATGTTGTAGTCCGCTGTATAGAAAACTGTAGTTTCCATAGTTTCACCACAGCAGCAGACGCGCATTTATGACCTCCACTGGCGAATCATAAACACGTTTGATAGTGAAAGTGCAGTCGAACCCTTGTGTGTGTCTCCCGCTCTCATCAGCACCAGCCCCGCCCCTGATTGTTTCCAACTGTGCCTAGTTACCTCTTGCTTATATTCCCTACTCTCCCCTTGTCTTGTTTCATTTCATCTTGTCCTGTCTCCATGCCAGTAGTCAGCATACCAGCGACTAGTTATTTTGGTCTCAAGCCTAATTTATGCTCCTGAAGTATTTTGTAAGTTTTGTTCCTCACTTTGTGAGCGATTTTCTTTTGTGCCTTTTTTGAAAACTTTTTCACCTCGTCAAGAGTGTCGATCCTTATTTGTACATCCTATTTTTGGAATAAAGTACTTTTGACATACTTTACCTTTGTCTCCCGGGTCATGCACTTGAGTCTTGTGCCTTGTGTTTCCAAGTTTGTGAAATTATGTCACTTACACATCTTCACTTGTGGGTAATTGTGCTGCAACTCGCCCAAAAGATGTCAGTTTTATTTTAAACTCGTAGATGTTGTTATAAGAAGTAGATGGCCATGACGTCGGCCCATTGTTTTGTCTGCCACTTTGAAGCCTCGGCTTGGCATTTCGGCTGCCACCATCTTGGTTTTTTGACGTTGTCATATTCTTGTTTTTTTATAACCACAAATTAGCAAAATACAACCAAACGATGACTAAGTTATATTTAGACGACCAAAATTGTATTTACTGTATGGTCATACTTTCCAGAACCCAACAAAATACTTTGAGTTATCTAAACTCAACCAAACTTCAATCATATTGAGGTTTCAGATTAAAAAATAGTTTTTTTAAAACCATGGCCAGTTTTGGGTCATTGTATTATTTATGTGTCAGGAGGAGCAGTGGCAGACAGTAGGTTTTGTTTTGTAGAGAGTGGTACAATATGAACACACACTCACTCCTTATATGTTCAGGACACCTGCAGCCAATTCTAGTTTTATAGGGAAGGGCTAAACAACACAACCCTTGTTGTTCTGGCAAGCCAGATGTCAAACCCTATCTAACATCATCAGTGCAATACATATAACTCACAAGCAAACAAAAGCATTCAGATACACACACACACACACATACACACACATACACACACACACACACACACACACACACACACACACACACACACACACACACACACACACACACACACACACACTGTTTCTAAACAGATGCCACACAGTAAAATAAAGTGAGCCAACGCTGGGCAGCGTTTTGGAAAACTCTTGTGTTATTGCCGGTAAAGTCGAGTGTAAAGAAGTGCGATGTCATTTATTATACTTCCTACAGGAAAGTTCCTTTCCTAGGTGAAAGGTTATGTTAAAATCCAAAGTGGGTCGTGTTTGAGAAACTGCAGACATGTAAGGCTGACACCTGTATACAGAGGACGTCTGGCAGATAAGACCAGTAAAAGATCTCTAATCTTAGAGTAAATGTTTAGTAAGGAAAGACAGAGAAGAGAGAGAAAGGGGAGGGATATAAAAGAATGGGAGACAGCTGGTCTGGCAATTCTGAGGTCATGAGAGGGACAAACACACACACACACACACACACACACACACACACACACACACACACACACACACACACGCACACGCACACTGCTCTCATAGAGCCCATGGAGCTCAGTAAATACTGAACATGAAATTAAATATCTTGTTTTTTATATTAAAGAGACAGTTCACAAACAAAAAAATACGATTTAGGCATTCTGTCTAAAATGGGAAAATCCTTGTGTTCGTGGTGCTCTGAGCAGTACAAATTACATTAACAACACAAATTCACAAAGGACACTATCTAACTAGCTTTGATGAAAAGCTGAGCCCTCTATCCACACTTAGTCCCGCCCATACTGTCCAATGGGCCAGAAACAACCAGTACTTCAATGCTGCATGATTTCAGAACTTGTGATTTTTCTGTATGACAGTTTGTTATGCAATGTTTACCTCCGTTAGTCTGACCTGTTCGGAGGCAGAGAATAAGAAACAGAGAAAGTGAAACGCCATGTGAGCTCAATGCTATTGCATTCCCCATTCAGTTAACCCAGACCCAACACGAGTATTAGATGGTGAATTTGATATGTAGTTGATACTTTGTGAAACCAATATTTGTAATAACTTCACATTCAGCACTGTCAGCCATCACCCAGCGGAATGCATTACAAAACTGAACGATTGTTGTTGGGATTGCTGCTGAGGTTTGAATTGACTTGAAATGTTTATTTGAATATAAGCAGTGGTGTAGTGGTCGTTGGACGCGGGGATCACCGTACCCCCACTTATTTGGAGCCCCCACTTTTTTAAAGCATAATTTTTTTTTAATAGTCTAATAAATATAAAATCATTGCCAGTGTTATCAGTTGCAAGTGTGTATTTGTTGACATAATGACGAAAACATAATACATTTCACAGTAATTGTAATAAAAAATAAAAACGATTTCCTTATGATTCGTCATCTCCGTCGTGACCCCAGGGTGACACCACAAGCTCGCCGCCCGCCGATTTTGCAGCAGCTCTTTCCCTCAAGAACGCTAACGAAACAGCTCTATAATGGTAGGCAAAAAAATGTATGACGTAGCTCAAGCATTTATGCAACTTGATTTGAAGCCTGTGTGTGTGAGGGGCAGCACCGTGTGTGTGTGTGTGAGAGTGAGAGAAAGAGAGAGAGAGAGCGTGCGGGTCAGGAATAATGTCGAAGCAGTGTGCATACAAGATCCGTTTATTCGCCATTAGGCTAGGCCTAATCAGAATCATTTCAAGTCCAGATTCAATGTTGTTTGCATAAGTAGGCTATATTTTTCGTTTCGTTTATTTAATAAGTTAATTTCAGGACAACTTTGGGAATTTTGTTTGTTTGTTATGAGCTTTAAATAGATTTTGAAAGTGGAGATAGAGAGAGAGAAGCAGCGCTGTCTGCTTATTTGTAAATACTGTAGCTCAAGCATTTATGCAATTTAGGCCTATAAATTGTTTATGTAACTTATGTGCCGGTGTGTCCATGGTTTTGAGTCTGTGTGTGTGTTGAGCACAGCAACATCTGCTTTTTGCAGTACAGTAACTAAAGTAGGACTAAGCATAACGGTAGTTTCTGTGGACCTGTCTGCCCGTTTTGTGAGTGCACTGCGCGCGTGCGCACTTGTGGCATTGTTTGGGATGACCTAATTAAAATAGCGTACACCCAGTAAAAAAATCCCCACTATACCACTGAATATAAGTAATGCAAGAGAAGGTTGAAATGCAGTAGCATCAGTGCCTACAATAACATACCATTCACTAAAAGTATTTGTAGTAATTAGACCACTACACCATCTGACCTGTCATGTGCATCTTTTAGTCAAAAGGATAATGGTTGTGGGTAACATATTGAAACATCACTATAATTGGCATGTTGTTATGTCCAGACATGTGGTTTTAGCCAGACGTACACATACACACGTCAGCTCTTTGTAAGCAGTACACTCAGAGAAGCAACAGGTTTAATTGTAATTAGTCATTCATATTTACATTTCAAATATGTATTGTTTCAACAGTTTTCTAAGAGCATACACAAACATGTAACACATTGCGGTGAGACGATTTGGAAAAAACAGCTGTTGTTTTGACTGATTTTACAATTGTTATATGATAAAAAAATATATAAGGAATGATCATTTGTGCATGATGATTCAAATTTTGAGAATGACAATAATAATACAAATAATCATGTTTTTTTTATTAGCATCTGTACCAAATAGCAGAATGGCTACTTAATGGACCCTGGCCCAGTGTGAGTCGAGGTCCTTACTCAGGACCCACAAATAGCTGCATGACCCAGAGAGCTCTGGGGAAATAAATATGATTTAAATATATTGCTATGGTGCAGTATGAAGCATCTTCTTTCAACAAAATCAGTGCGTTTTTGATTTCCTCCCGTATACTCTGCCACAGAAAGGTAAGTAAGGTCTCATTTCCCTTTTTGAGTCACCACCTTTTCTATACCCATACTCTAACATACATACTTTTTAGAGTTTTCTAATGATTGGAAAGCTTGAATGAAAAGGCTGCTTCAATATAACTGCTGATTTGAGTTTCCGTGCAGGCCTGAGATTATTTTTAGAAGCCTTGAATCAATCAAGATGTCGGAAAAGTGTAACCAAGCTTGTCGATCAATCCCCACCAATTGTATTGCAATATCTACAAAGCACCTCCATTAATGTTAATGCGCCTGCATTAAAAACACCTGTTTTTATTCCTTCCTTACTTCCGTTCTCCCTCTCCTTGCTTCCTTCCTTCTTTTTATCCTTCCTTCCTTCCTGGAAGGTGTGTGTGTGTGTGTGTGTGTGTGTGTGTGTGTGTGTGTGTGTGTGTGTGTGTGTGTGTGTGTGTGTGTGTGTGTGTGTGTGTGTGTGTGTGTGTGTGACTAACCATGGACTCGTCCTCAGTGGTGAACACGGTACAGGCTTGGGCCTGCATGAAGGACAGGATGGTTCCTGCGATCTTCCTCAGCAGAACCTCCAGACACTGCTGCTCCTCAAAGATCAGACTGGCCAGGTCTAACAGCACCTGCACACACACACACACACACACACACACACACACACACACACACACACACACACACACACACACACACACGTGTCATGCTCAGTGTTGTGTTCACACCTTCAGGGACCCACTTTCACACCCACCTGATTGCGTCTGTTTTCCAGCTGAGAGGTCTCGTAGAGCTGGGCGTTGTGCAGGACGATGCCTGAAAAGACCAGATAGGCTGAGAAATCCTGGAGAGCAACAGAACAGCATCTGAACACCATGTATAGATAACAGAACAATTACAATGACAGGGAACAAGACGAGACTTTTTCTTTATCAATGAAGGAGAAAGGAAAATGACCAGAAGTGAGTATTTATCCTTAAGTGAAGTAGAAGTACCAGAGTGTAGGAATACTCAGCTACAAGTAAAAGTACTCATTACTTTGTATACTGCAGGGTAGCTTGTGAATTTACTCCAGGTGGAACTAAAGTCTGATTTAAGACTTGATTATATTTCTCATCATTACTGTAATCTAAATCTGTAAAGTAACTAAAGGAATTAAATACATGTAGTGGAGTAAAAGTACACCATTTACCTCTGAACTGTAGTGGAGTAGAAGTACACAGTAATACAAAATGAAATATTTAAGTGAAGTACAAATACCTCAAAATTGTAGTTAAGTACAGTACTGGAGTAAATCTACTGAGTTACTTTCCGCCACTATGACAGATGATATAAGATAGGACACACACAGGTAAAGGTTGAATGAACGAGGCAGCAAAAGTTGAGCTTTTGTTAACCCACACCTTGAAGAACAATATGTCTTTCTCACACAATTTGTCTTCCGTTCTGTATTCATTCATATTGACAACATGTGGTTGTAGTGGAACCAGTGACCTTCACTCACCCTCTCATCCTGCTCAGTGAAGGCACTGTCCTCCCCACATTTCTTATTGATCGCCTGAGCCACTCCAACTACCTGTGAGAAAAAACAAGAGAGTAAAAATCAAAAGAATAAGGCTGCTAGACATCCTGTCAACATGGATGTCAACAAGGCCTTCAAGTTTTTGGTTGGAAAAGGATGCAATAAATTGTTCAGTTGTTTAAAGACTTAAAGACTTTGAAAAACTGTAGCGGTTAAGGTTCAGGTTCAAAGAGTGAATACCTGCTGGAAGAATGTCAGCTCCCTGCCAAAAAGGCTGGAGGGCACTTAGGCCGTTATATCTTTTTCCAAAGCCCATTTAAAGCGTAAATAACTGAGTAGGCCGCAGTGTTCTAGCCCAGGTATGTTCCAGGAAAAGATGATCTACAAAGGAGTGTAGCGTTTTTTAGAGAAACTCTAATCATCTGGTCTACGTTAGGGAATTTATTTTTGTTGTCTTAAATGTCAGAGATGTCAACACATGGAGTTCAATTATTACATGTTGTAGCCATCTCCATCACAATCAAGCAAACTAACATCGAGATATTCTTTCAGCCAAAGTAAAGCCCCATGAGTCATTTAAGATAAGCCACTATCCTTCTGGTTTATGGTAAATAGTGTAACATCAGTAACTAAGGTGCAGTGTGAATACACTATATACAGATGGACGAGTACATTGATATTTTATTTTATATGCTATCCTCGCCCACTCCATGTTAATAATATCCTACTTTTATATGTTGTGAGCTGTAATTGGCCCTTAGTGTATATTTGACAGACATTCTTCAGATATATATCTTCCACTGTCATTCTTTTTTTACTTTGAAGTTCTGTTTTTTTTTTAGATGTTTATATTTTATGTTTATGTCTGTTTATAGCGTACTCCTTTCCATTTTCACATTGTGTGCAATGCCTTGTTTACTTATGTCTTATCTTAACCTAATAAAACACCAGCTGTAGCATGTCTGGTCTTACCTCGCCTCTGTGGTTCTTTATGGGAAGGCACAGGATACTCTGTGTTCTGTATCCTGTGATCAGGTCCACTTCAGCATTAAACCTAGGGTCCTGGGGAGGAAAATCATAAACATCCTTTTATCCCATCTTCAAAGCAATACAAAGTGTCCAAATAAGTCTGACCTACATTTTTGGACTGAAACCTGTTCTTTTATAATCATATCTGTTCGTGCTAATGCCTTTCACAACAGATATTGTTAGCGTTACATCTGAAACATTCTAATAACCATCTGCTGCCCAATGACTTTTCACGCTTTCCCCTTTAATTCAAATCAAAGCTTATTCTATAGCCCAATATCCCAAAACACGTCTTTTTGAGTGGGTTTAACAGATTAACAAACATGAAAGACAAAAATAAACTAGATACAAATAAAAGAAGGTAAAATACAACAAAAAGGCCATACAAATACAAAATAAGAATTCCATAACAGGTAAGAGAAACATAGGGTAATGTTAAACCAGCTGAAACTATAAGGTTTTATTCAAAAGAAAAGTCTTCAGCACACTTCAAAGTTAGGACCCTGCCTCCCTGATAAAAACTAGAAGTTGGTTCCAGAGAAAGGGAGCTTCTGACTCCTGATAACTTCTCTGAAGAGTAGCTCTCCTAAAAGGGAAAGCTTGAAAACTTGGCATTTGACAAGTTTAGGAGTGATGTCTTTATTGAGCCTTTCCGAAATCAAATAAACAAGATCACAAGTTTGAGGAGGAGATACAAAACAGGGTTCTGACTAGCTGGTAGCTCATTTTGCTGCATGTGATACAATCTGCCAGCAACAGTTCAGAATCAGAATACCTTTATCAGTCCCACAGAGGGGACATTTACATTGTTGGCAGCCATTCCTCCACAGAATGGATGGTCATTGGCTAACACCTTTTGATTGGACAAAAATGGCATAGGCTTTCAATGGTAAAATGCCCCTTTATCGGCCCGCTGTGGCTCCTGGAGATGGACGTCAACCAATCAGAAGGTCAGTGGTTACATTCCCAGCCAGATAGATATAACCTAACCCCTCATTGATCCTGTAGGTATGTCTACAGTACTGGAGTGTTTACAAGTTGCTTTGGATAAAAGTGTCAGCTAAATAACATGTCATGTAAAGTAATCATTATAATCCTCCCACAGTATTGTTGACATCTTCGTAGATTCATCTTCTTATTATAGACACATGCATTTCCAAACATTCGGTCTACCTACGCTGTAAAATGTATTATCTCTTCGATTTACACACGGCATCTATTGCACGTCTGTCCGTCCTGGGAGAGGGATCCCTCCTCTGTTGCTCTCCCTGAGGTTTCTCCCATGTTCCCCTTTAAACTGTGGGTTTTCTCTGGAAGTTTTTCCTTGTACGATGTGAGGGGGTGTCGTATTGGCATACTAATATTCTGTACAGACTGTGAAGTCCACTGAGACAAATGTAACATTTGTGATATTGGGCTATATGCTATATAAATAAACATTGATTGACTTTGATTGATTGATAAACAGTATGAACCATCCAGAAACAGAAACCCTGACAGGCTGCATACAGTTTAACCATCCACACTAAAACTAAAAGTTATTTTCTGTAGAGCTGCATGCACACAGCTGTGTCAACATTATGCAAAGCAAAGATTCCATTCTTCATAGTTTTGTTAGTACTTTCTTGATGCACAAGTGTTGAGTTGAAGAGGGAGGAGGAGCTTCTGAAGGCATGTTAAGGAGCACTGGATGTTTAGAGGACTTTTCCCCCGTTGGCAACTCTTCCACCCAGCGCTGACCTTTAAACACAGCTCTTCCTCTACAAACCATTATCCTCCAAACTCAAGGGGGCAGATTGTAAAATAAAACCCCACACAAACAGGTTCAGTGTGGTATGACACAACTTTGATTGCCGAAAGAGATAGGCCTATCCTAATTGTGTCTTTGTTCTAAGTATATTATTTAAGTAAGAACACTTCCTCTGTTTTCATCTGCTTTTTCTGCTGATGCTGTTTACTCTTGAATGATTATATAACTGGAACAAAAGGTGTACAATTGACTATTCCCAAGCCCCATCCTGCTCACTGACTGTTGAATCACCCGTCAACCGCTGCCTTCTCAAACAATGTAGTTTACACATGGTTTTGACACAGTGTTTTAAACACTGGTTCATTGCACTGACATGCAACATAACTGTATTATGTTAGTTGAAAGCAATGCTATTAAACGTAATATGATTCCTTCCAACTAACATAATACCATTATGTGAAATCTGTTGACATAATGCACTTAATTAAAGTCAACATTTCAGTTGTTTCAGTGTGCTTTGGCACAGAGGGAGACTCCTCCCCAGCCAGTGACCACTCCTCTCCTTCAGCCCGGTGCACATCCCATCAGAACAGCCTGCCAGGCCTTGTTACGGTTGCTAAGAGATGATTAGACAACTGCTGTACTGGGTAAGGTTAAACAATATCAATTAGTATGTAAAACAGGCCTGTAACTCAAGGCCTCTACAGAATAACCTTTACAAACACAATTCAAAATGCCGTATCAGATTCTCTATATCTCATATAGTCATTTTGTATAAAACAGAAAGGTATACATGTTTTAGTTGCGCTACCAAATTGTTTACACACCTTAATATGTTGTTGTGTTTGTATATGTTATTACAAACATAATGTCTATTATCTGATTCCCAGACCTTTTTTGACTGATATGGAAAATTGTATCCCTAAAGAAGTTTTGCAGCAGAAAAGCACTAAAAATAGGGGGTGTAATCCTGAGACTAATGAGAAGGTAGATCCAATCAGAGAGCTGGGGAGTCCCTCAGATGACACATAGGAACTTCCTGAAAGCAGTATTAGGTTCTGCAGTTGCACACACACACACACACACACACACACACACACACACACACACACACACACACTTGTGCTCATGTCCCCCCACACCTTGCAGACAAAACAAAGTACTCTAAGATACGGGAACCACACACTTGCACAAATAGAGTGCAGCATAGACACAGATCATATGTAACATACGCACAATAACAGAACACTTATAAGCAACGTGAGTTATTTGAAAATACACACACCAAAACCAAAACATGCTCTCACCAGGACACACACACATTCACACACACACACACACACACACACACACACACACACACACACACACACACACACACACACACACACACACACACACACACACACACACACACACACACAATGTTATTTAACACATTCTGATATATAATATTTTAAATATTATGTGCTTACAGGCATCAATAGCACACAATCATGCACAGAAATAAACTCTCACAAACACACACACACACACACACACAAAGTTAATCAAATGCAGGTAGATCATAGCATCATCATCATCATGGTCTTATGGTTGGCGGGCAACCAGATGATAGCGCTACCAAATAAGGAATGTACCCAGCAGGAAATCTCCCTTTATCTCTCTATCTCTCTCAGACACACAGAAACCATGCTGTGAGACTGTGTGTGTGAGACTGTGTGTGAGACTGTGTGTGTGAGTGTGAGAATGTGTGTGTGAGGCTGGCGATGCTGTTTAGTGTGTTGTTGTCCCTGAAGTATACACACTTACAGTGGAGGAAATCATTATTTAATCCCTTGCAGATTTTTTAAGTTTACCCACTTACAAATAAATGAACAGTCTATAATTGTAATGGTAGGTTTATTTTACTAATGAGAGATTGAATACCAAAAGAAAATCCAGAAATGTACACCATATAAGAGATAACAATGTATTTGCATTTAACTGTGGGAAATAAGTATTTCTACATGGCTACAAGACCATCAGAAAGCAGCTTGGGGAGAAGGAGACAACTGTTGGTGCCATTATTCAGAGATGGAAGTAACACAAAATGAGTATCAATCGCCCTCGGTCTGGGGCTCCACACAAGATCTGGCCCCTTGGGGTATCGATGATCGTGAGAAAGGTAAGGGATCAGCCCAGAACTACAATGGAGGAACTTGTTAATGATCTCAAGGCAGCTGGGACCACAGTCGCCAAGAAAACTATTGGTTACACACTACACCATAATGGATCAAATCCTGCAGTGCCTGAAGGCCCCCTGCTCAAGAAGAACATGAAAGGCCCGTCTGAAGTTTGACAATGAACATCTGGATGATCCAGAGAAGGCTTGGGAGAAGATGATGTTGTCAGATGAGACCAAAATCAAGATCTTTGGCATCAACTCGACCCGCTGTGTTTGGAGGAAGAGAGATGCTGACTATAACCCCAGAACACCATCCCCACCGTCTGCTGACGGTGGGGATGGTGTTCTGGGGTTATAGTCAGCATCTCTCTTCCTCCAAACACAGCGGGTCGAGTTGATGCCAAAGATCTTGATTTTGGTCTCATCTGNTGTATCCTTTAGATAAGGATCTGATCACTGTGTGTGTGTTGACTGTGTGTGTGTGTGTGTGTGTGTGTGTGTGTGTGTGTGTGTGTGTGTGTGTTTGTGTGTGCGTGTGATGCTTGCTATAATCGCCAGTATTCATGCTGCACCGGGCTCCCAGCGTTTCTACAGCTGTCGCCTCTTGTACTCACTGACCTCCACCAACAGGTCCTGAGGCCATCGCTCCTTATGGCAGCCACTCAAACCCTCCACTGTATGAGCAGAGCAGCAGAGCCGAGAAGACGGGCTCTTTAGTAAACTGGAAGGACACTCGTGCTGCATACAAACATTTCACAGTCTTGACCCGAGATAAAAGAAAAAACACATACATAGACATGTGTGTATAAATGAAAGTTTACAGGATTAGATACAGCAGATGTAGAGCTACATTCGGCTCTTCAATTAAGCTATTTGTAAAACATTTGATAAAGGTCTTATGAAATCTCTTCTTTGATTTTTTCTTTCATGGTCTTGGTAAGGCTGAAACATATAATAAAAAGCTCAGATAACAACAGCAAGATTCATCTACATTTTTATTTTGTACATCATTTCATTAAGATAAAAAAGGTCAATTTATTTGTAAACTTTCCTCTGATGTTATCCATTCAAAATGTTTCCCAAAGGCAAATATGTCCTTTTCCGTTGTTTGTAATTCAATGATTTACTTAGTGAGAAGGTCAGAGAAGTTTCGCGTATTGAGAACATGCTGTACGACTACAAACATTTGCTTGTCACAAGCACATAAATTCAGTCAAACACTCATCCAGCCCTGCCTAAATACTCACTTCCTTGCACACAGTCTCACAAGTCTTCATTCGTTCCACAATGGCTATCGGGCAGTCTTCCGGAGGCCACAGATAGATAGACCCTCTCTCTGTGGACACTCACCCGGTCACATGAGCCTCATGAGTGTGCACATCGCCCCCCCTACCCCCAAAGAACAAGGCACACACAGACACAGTGTAATATCAATCACCGGTGGCATTCATATTTCCCAGATTCAAGTCTCCATTGAGTGCAAACGCTCACTATTGGAATCACGTGCACTGCAGACAGATAAGTGTCCTGGGGAAATGATGGGGGTTCCTGAAATGAGCTAGTCCAGTCCTCTTTCTGTGCCTGCAGGGGTCAACTTAAGTAGATTGAAAACTATCTCAGGAAAAGGTCATCAACATCGGCACAGATGCTTTTCTGTTCTCCCTGTCTTCATTTCCCTCCAGGTCCCTCTCTCATGTACACATGCAGACACACAGCTCTGTCAATCCGTGATGGATGTCCGCTTCACAAATGTGAGGATATGAAGTCTGGGGATTCCCGATTCCCAGAGGCCTTTGGGTGGCTTTGGCGGGAGAGAGGACCTCTTGTTACGTAAACAAAGCAGCCTGCACTTCCTGCTCGGTCAGTGAGAGAAGAGAGGGAGAGCGAGCCAGCGAGCAACGCTTTATCTAATTTCTGAGACAAAACACGGATCATGGAGGAGGACACGGGAAGAGCAGGGGCAGGGGGGAGCGGGGGTGGCAGGGGAGCGGGGGGCAAAGGAAGAGCCCTTTCCGGGAGCGGGGGTGGCAAAGGAAGAGCCCTTTCCCTCTCAGCTGCGCCTCCACTTCCTGTGTGGAGAGGAAGTCCCTTGTTGGGCACTCAGTGATCTCATCTTGGGTTGCGAGGAGCTTCCGTCCTGGCGAGCAGCGGCACTTTGAACCGCAAACGGAGTAGTGAGGCGAACACACACACACGCCTGTCCTGATTATCGCAGTGGAAAACACACACACACCCGGTCCGACAGGAAACAGTGCTGCTCGGAACAAACAAGCACTTCCTGTGTGTACTGGGGCCTGTTCACAGAGAGGGCCCAATCAAAATCCAATGTCCTGTCCACTGCATCATTATCACCATCATTCAGGGGACATTACTGCTCATTTGCTAATAGCCACAAGGCCTTATTTATGCTTACCGCCCCCCCCCAACCCCAAACACCCACTGCGAGCCCCTCACTGATGACCCAAGTTTGGACATGTCTCTCTGTGCGGAAGTTCCTTTAAAAGTTGGCCACTAATTGAAATACATTAGGCCTAAATTGCCTCTTTTTCCCTTTCACCCATCAAGTTGACAGACGACCCAATATTTAAGTTTGCCTCTCTAATTTGTTGTAGAAATACCAATGCAGCGAGGCAATGTGGCTCAAGGGGCTGTTGGTTTACAGTACCATTACATTGAGAGATGGCAGGAACAGAACAGCCATTATGTTCCCAGTTCAAAGTGCGGTCACCACAGGACCCCATAGGAACTAACGATGGGGCCATGCAGACATCTTCAGGTTTTGTGTATTAAATGCAAAAGTTTAAGTCTCTACTAAATGCTCAAGTCTCAGCTATTACATCAAAATAAGGTTACTTGTATAAAATGTCCTACAGAAAAGCAGTTAAGTTCAAATCAAACACTGCAGCTCATGCCTGTGATGACATAGTTAACAAAAGAACATTTGAAAGTTGAGCAAGCTTTTCTTGCTGAATTACTGAAGTTGATTTGGGGACATCTCTCATTAACGGCCATTTAAAAGTGCATTAAACACTTTTTACTTTGTCAAAAACCTACTGTGGCTGCTCCTTTTTTCCCATTACTCCCTTTGCAAAAAAATAATGATGATCTGGTGACTGTTGTCCTGTTTTTTTAGATGCATTTTTTGTATGGTTAGCGCTAACCATTATGACAGACACAACAATGTTCCTGTAGCTGCTTCACAATGAAATCCATGCCTTGTTTTGCCAGCTGAATGCCTTCGATGTAAAAGATGTACTGTTTGCATTAGCAGTTACCAAATGCAGCTCTGATACATTATAAAGAGAGTGAACTGTAAACAGTTGGTATCCAGTCTGGTAATGGTGGACTTTCCCACTATTAATATCAACTACTATATTAATAATTACTAGATGTAAATACATTAAATGGATGTTTTGGGAGAAATGCCATTGCTAAATAGTATTTGAATGGGGCTTTGATTCAACACTAACATCAGTATTAAAATCTTCATTTTAAAAATGACTTTAGAGTTTACTGGTACATAAATAATAGACTCTTAGTGCCTTTCGAACATGTTTGAAAAAACGACATTGGTCAGTGTCGCGAAGGTGAGAAAGGATCCTTAAAAAAAAACTCTATTAAACCACTCAAACACTAGCACACGCCCATATTGTGTGATGGTAACTAGGAAAGCTTTTGCAGAGCGTAGTGTATATATTAATTTAATCCAAGTGAAGCCTGTGTTAAATTCTACATTCTTCTATTCAGTATCATTGGCAGCTCAATGTCCATTAAGTAAATCCCACTACAAATCCCTCTCTTTCCAAATCACTGAGTCACTTTTCAAACAAATGATACCTGTGATAACACTCCACTGTTTGCCTCCCACCCCCCCTCTGTCTGTCTGTCCTTCAGCCTTTTTCTTTTTCTCTTTGTGTGTGTATGTTTGGACCAGGAAGCAGCCTTCTTATCTGAACACACAAGCGCAGTGGACAGCAGGGCAGCCTGTGGAAGCTCAACTCTGGGTAAACTTTGCCTTAACTTTGAAGCTGGCCGTGTGAGAGCTTGTCCTCGGGGCTGGCCGGAGCACTCAGCACCGGTGGCTCTCCAAAGAGGAGGTCAATGGGACAGGTAAACAGGAAGTGCCTGCGCGGTGATTGACAGCCTGTTTAGACACAAAGAGATGGATGCTCACAGAATGCTGACTCACTAACAAATCACCACTCAGTGAGCGGATTTGTAAAACAAGATGCTGCAGGGGATGGGGTGTCGTCTTTTCTCTCACTCACGTATTATAATATATCTCACATTTTTCACTTTAATGTATTTTATATTAAAACGTTCCTTCTTTTAAGTTTTGTATACATTTATCTAATGCCTATTTTGCTTTTTGTGGGTGGTAGCTGTCCGTTTTTATTCAATAAGTGAGGAGATATTCATGGGAAAACTTGCAACAGCAGGAATCAGATGGGCGATTTTCTTTTCTTTTTTAGACTCGAGGCAGTACTCACGACAAGTGCCACGCCCCTTTCTGGAAGTGGCATCCAAATCGAATTTTATATTTGCCTCCCAGGTGGAAAAAGCCTGCAGAAGATGATGCACGGATCAATACTTAATCTGGCTAAAGCTATTACTGATGTCCGAAGGGGAGGCTGTGATTTACAGTTAAAGGCTAAATGTTTTTACACTGTTGTTTCCCAGGGGGGGTTCTTTGTTTGTGACACAGCAGAGGAGGAAGCTGCTCTCTTTTTCCCACAAATCCTTGTCAAATAGTCTAAATAAAGTCACAATCCTGAACTTGTGGCCTATTACAAATCCCTCCATCTCCTGAGCCACAGTCCTCTCTTTGCTCGCTAAACTTTCAGGCAGAGTTAGAGTATCAGTCTCCTGCCCCCCCCCCCCCCTCCATCGTTCCCATGCAGCGATGCTGAGGGTGCTCGCAGGCCAGCAGCAGCCTGGGTGGCAGACTGAGGTCTGGGGCTGCAGCTTGCTCACACTAATCACGTTGATTATTGCGATTACAGTCCATTTCCCTCCCCACCCCCCCTCTGGTGTCACGCTGCAACTTACTGACCTGGATCTGACAGAAAAGTCCCGGGTTGCCATAGGCGATCTGTCTTCCTGTTCTCCTCCGTCCAAGTCCACACCACCCACCTCTCGGTCCCCCTCTCTCCCCTCCTTTCCTCTCCTCAAACACAATCGCTCCCCGAGGTACCTTAGCGACTGTTTCCTCGTCCCATTGCCAAGCCAGTTATGAACAAGAGGTTTACTAGAAACTCACAACAATATTTTGTCTACATTTCCCTTTTGAGCTAGCTCCCTCTTTTTCATTAAAGGCTGGCAGTGGGATAAAGTCTTCCCTGCTACTGTGTGGCCAGCAGGCGTGCACATGTTTTTTCCCCCCTGCTCCTTGCCCATATGTTTATCAGATCGCTGTAGCATTTCATAATCGACATTATAAGCACTGAGCAGATAACAAAGCCTTTGATTTGGGCCTGATTTCCCCTTATCCCCCGCATGTTAAATTTAGCACAGTGATTACCGAGTGTGATTATGGGCCTCTGCGGCCTTATGTAAATCATATGGGAGCCACACACGCTGAGGTCCTGCTCAGAGGACGTGAGCTTGCATGGTGAGAGTAAAGTAATGTTCAAGGAATTAATAATGTATGATGTTACCTTACCTTACCTTGCACATATAGCAGTGCTTCTTATCAGTGTTCTTTTTCAAGTGAGCACTATAGGAGAATCTTGTCATTCCTTTCTAAACCTTACCTCCCCTGTGAGAACTTCCTATAGTAGCTTTGGCTTCATATGTTGGCAGCTGAGTTGCAGAATATTGCAGTGTTACTAAGGAACAGCCCTATCAGACCTCTTTGTTAACGGCACAGATACCTACCCGCTCCCAACACCCTAATGAGGAACATTTTATGGTGCCTAATGACAGACAAAACAGCAAACAAAGAAAGCAGATTGGGTCATTTTAACTCTTAAAAACATTCCTACATACGTTTTGACTTAAGTGACCTTGGATTTAAGGGAGATAAGGAGACATTTATAATCATATGCCTTTTCAGATTGACAAAAACAAAAATATGTTTTGTTATTTATGAATATTTGGAAAAATAGATACATTTTTGTTTAATAAGTTCATATTCCACACTGTGGCCTACTGTCTACCCACTAAAAAGTTAGTCAACAGGTCACAGAAACAACATTGTGCACCTCTAAAAATTCTTAAGGTAGACAGTGGATGGCCTTTTCTACAATACGTGTGAATGACCACTATAGTTAAAGCTGCAATGTTTCCTCATTAACAATGCTTCAAAGTGTTATGTAACAAAAATGTCAACCACATCTGCAGTGTCCCTCAGCTCTATGTAGCCTGTGAGCTTCTTTCAGCTTATTTTGGCCAACATCTTTTCTGTTTTACATTACATGTCACTTGTTAGATGCTTTTATCCAAAGTGACTTACATACTCAATACTGTGGACAATCCCCACAGGAGCAATTAGGGGTGAAGTGTCTTGCCCAGGGACACAACGACATGCTGACTGCAGTGGGGTTTGAACCTTGACCCCCTGATCCGAACACCAACGCTAAGCCCACTGCATCACACGCCACGTGTGTAAATCAGAATGGAGTTTATTGCCATGTACCTTTACACATAGGCTACAAGGAAAGCTTTTGTGACTGGTGGTGATTGCGAACATTAACAACATAAGGAAATAAGTTGTAAGAGAAGGTCGAAAATATAACGATTATAAATATGTGTGTCTTTTTTTTATAGAAGTAAGAATCAGAATGTTATACAGTAGGTGTGCGTCGTGTGTATGGTGTATTTGCAGCACTCTTTATGATAAAGGTGAAAGACAGGGGGTGTGCTCCCTCACTCTCCTCCCTGCCCGCACAGTCCCGCTGTTTGACCGGAGCGCGCACAGTCCCGCTGTATGACCGGAGCGCGCACACTCCCCGGCACGGAGCAGCTCTCTCTCTGTGAGCAGCTTTCCCCCTGTTATTCGGTACCGGGTCTCCCGTGTGTAGATGTAGCCGGTAACCGGAGCTCTCAGCGGCACTCTGCGGTCGCCTTTGCGCCATGGAGGACTGCTGCTCCCCGGAAAGCGAGAGGATGGAAGCGTGGCTGGACGACCATCTGGAGTTCTCTCACTCCTACTTTATCAGGAAGGCGTCAAGGTAAAGGGGGGTGATGGGTGGTGGGACCTTAAACCTGGTGTATTTAGTTTCTGTGCGTAAGAGAGAGCGCTTACTCGTGAACATCTTTGCAGAAAAACAGCCACCATCAGTTTGCTTTTGGTGCCCAGCCCCATAGCCAATCAGGAACGGCAAATATTCGAAGTCTTGCCAAGTACTTTTGTGTAATATCAAGTCAGAATATGTCTTTACACTGGATATAAGACCTAGAAACTTAGGAAGTAACTAGCAGTGATGTAGGGTCTTGATGTTAGACACTGCATCTAAAGTAGTTGAGTCAAAGATTCAAAGTTGTATCTCAGATTAAACCATTTTCACATTTTTATTGGAAAATCACCCATTAATATCAGAAAACAGAACACATTTGACCATTTGCGGCATTTCCTGATTCTGGTAAATATAGTTCAAAATACAAAATGTATGCTCTAAATATCCCATCTTACTTCAACTAATATTTTCCTTATTACAAGCAAAAACAGTGTTTTCATAATTGTTGTACTTGTTTTTGGAACAGCATTTTTTCCAGTGAAACATTTCATCTCCTCTGGTAGTTAATCTTAAATTCTTTATTTTAACTCTCCTTTATAGTCAGGAAGGCTCTAAAACCTGGTCATATCCAACAATCATGTGCTGCGTTCAGGCACACTCTGATCCTTGTCTCTGATACCTGCATAGCTCCTGTAATGCTCTCTGATACACATGGCCTCTCTCTCCCAGCTCTGTTATTTATCTCATCATCCACTTCACAATCAGTGAGAGCTGTGATATCTGCCCAGCGCCCTTAAATCATTAACCTATGCTGCTGCCAGGGATTCTGTTCAATTCTCAGTGTGCACTGTTGGATAGATCCTTGGTGATAATTATAAAATCCTTCCTCATGGTGCCTGTGTCTTAATTTAAATCACTCAGTTTCAGCCTCCCCAATTAGACCTCAGAGAGCGTGGTTCAGTGCAAATGAGCCGTTTCATTTCGTACGCAAACAAAGATTCCAAAGCAGTCTTTCTCTGGCAGCAGCAGCAGCTGTGATAGGCATTTTTTTGCAGCAGTCATATCTTGGCATATCATCTTCCTGGCAGCTCTTCATCAGGACACATTAGCTCTGTGTTTGTTTGAGTGACATACTCCTTCAGACCCATTTATCCACTTTAACTGCCATGGCAACTTCACTTAGTTTAGCAACACACATTACCTCAGTCCCATCTCCATCCCCAAATACATTGCCATAAAGAGCATTGTAAGAGGACATGTTTCCTCCACCGCTCTTCCTGACCGCATGAAAAGAAACACAAAAAAGTGTGTCAGTGCATATCGTTTCTACGCATCAGTTGTTCTGGTTGAGAAGCATTTCTTAGAGAAGTATTGAGTCAGCCACACCCCCCCTGGATACATAAGGCTGGGGGGGAGTAAGGAGGATTCCGCCTGATGGCCCTGACAGGCAGATAACAGCTCTTTTGCCACAGCGTTTTATATGCCTGGCTCAGGGCCAACATATCAGGGTGGATTTAACGGCCAGCGCATGCCAAATGCAGAAGAGCAAGCTTTAAAATGTGTGCGTGCGTGTGTGTGTTTGTGTTCTCCAAGTTGATTAGACAATGTATCGGCTGATTAGAGAGCTTCTCACTAATCACACCCAATGTACTCTTCACACACACACACACACACACACACACACACACACACACACACACACACACACACACACCCACACACACACCGTATTAGACACCTCAGTGTGAAAAAAGTTCATCACATTATCTAGATTGTGCTCTTTATTCACTTGTATTATCATTGTTCACTTTATTTATTAACATCAATATGGCTTCATCAGTGTTTGCATTCTCTGTTCCTGCTGACACAAAGTTTCATTTAACTAAAACTCCCTCTGATCATTTGTCCACTGTTTGGATGAATATTCCATAATGTTCAGAACCAGTAGGGCAAAACACAAATATGTCCCTCCACCAGGGAAGGATGATGTTGATGGATGAGCCCATCAAAGTATTTACCTTCCTCTCCAGCAATCAGGGCCATTTTCATTTAAATCATGGCAAATTTTATTTTGTAAAGTTTAAATTTTTCAGCAAATACTTTACGTAAGCATTTTCAAAACGTTTCCTAACCCTGCTTTATTTGTTTTACTTAGCTAACAATGGGCTTATCTTTGGTCTAAAGCTACATTTGAAGGTTCGATATATGGGGCATTCAGAGCATTAATAAAGCAGAACAAATATCATTTGAACTCTATGTCCCTCTATGTGGTGAGCTAATGCTTCTTACCCAGATTACAATGTGGTCATACACCAGCAAACATAAATGTCATGTTTTCATAACGTTTTCTACATTGTTTTTGACCAGTATGAGGTCATTTCTTAAATTACGTCATCTTGTAATTATTTTTTTCTCTTTGTTTGCCTTTCCTTTGCAAATTGCACCATAAAAGATCAACACACTGGATAGATGTCTCTTTTGATTTGGTACAGAAACAGATCATGTGAATTTGTGGGATTTCAGGAGTAACTTTAAACTATAACAATAGTCTACCTGTCAACCAGTGTGTGTTCTATTATTGGATTTTTTTTATGAATGTTACTTGTAATTTTTCATTTTAAATATTATGTGCACGACCTTTATCTAATAGTGTTTTATTTTTTGTATCTATCTTCACTTCTCCCCTCTGTGGGAAGACTATTCTGATTGTGTATTTAGTCATACGTTTAAAGGTAGGGTAGGTAAGAATGGAGAAACCAGCTCGAGTGCGCTAGAATTTGAAAGTACGCAGCCGAAAAAAGTCTGCCCCTTCCTTCAGACTTCCTTACAGAGCCCCTCCTCCAACGCACACGAACGCGCACATGACCAATGAGGGCACGAGATAAGTTTGTGCACAGATGGAAGGCTGACAGGCAGGTAGACCATCCAGTTATTTTAGCCGGGCCGGCTAAAATGATTGGTCGTGCTTTTTACAGCACCATGGCTTCCACAGATTACATTTTTTTATGTATTTATTGTCAAAGCATTTAATATATTCATTGCTATCGGGATTTTAAGAGCATTCCATGGAATATAACAAAAAGTGTTTCTGAAGTGAATTACCTACCCTACCTTTAATGTGTGCTATGTTCCAACTGTCAGGAATTACAATGTTTGTGTATGTTGGTGTAAATAGTTATTATGTAATGGAGGTCAAGTGTTAGATAATATACTGTTAGTCATATCTCATGTTTTAGGTGGTACTATCCTCTGTCAGATCCAGATGTTTGTCCCAGTCTCAGTGTATGTCCTGTGCTGCAGGGAGATGGTGAACGCCTGGTTCTCTGAGCGAGTTCACTCCATCCAGCAGTCTTCCTGCAAAGAGAATCCTACACAGCAGCACTCCGGCCCCCCATCTGCCTCCACAATCCTCCCACCTACACTCCAGGACAGCCGCTGCCCGTCCCCCATCCCGGCCCCCATCCCGGCCCCCATCCCGGCCCCTGGCACCCCCACCCGCAAGATATCAGCGTCAGAGTTTGACCGCCCGCTCAGACCCATCGTGGTGAAAGACGCAGAGGGCTCTCTGACGTTCCTGAGTGATGCCGACCGGGAGACGGTCCCTCTACGCGGCTCTGTGATGGGCGAGGGGGGTATCGGTGGGGGGGGCAGCGCGGCAGGAAGTGACCGCTGCGCCAGGCTGCTGGAGCTGGTGATGGATGTGTCCAGTCATCTGGACGTGACAGCACTCTGTCACAAGATCTTCCTCCACATCAACGAGCTGATCGCTGCAGACCGCTACTCCCTGTTTCTGGTAGGAACACAAACTACTGTTTTCGAACTGTTATCTAACTGCAGCAGCAGGGGGGTCCAAACCTTTTTCACTGAGAGCCACATACAGAAAAATATACGAAGGGCTGGCATATTAATGCATGAACACTATTCGAGAAGTACAATATAAGACAAGCACTAGTTTCAGGTTGGGGCTATGTTCCATTATACTTTAAGAATTTGCTGCAGGCCAATTAAAAATGGACCACGGGCCACAATTTGCCCCCAGGCCGCAGTTTGGACACCCCTAACCTAGAGCACTGTGATCAGCCGGAGCAGGGGGAGTGAGACAGGCCTCTACAGGATGTGTGTGCTGTGAAACGTCTCTTAAAAAGTGCTTACACTCACCAACATGCTCACATCTCAGCTTTCGCTCAAACTGCTGATGTGATGTTATTCAGAGTCTATAAAGGTGTTTTACCATACAATGTAGGTGTTATTCTGTCATTGAAGGGCCACTCTATCATGCCAGCTATTGTTTTGCCTTTGTGCATATTTTACATGATGTGCAGACTCACAGGATATCTCACTGTGAGCGACCTTTACATTACACACAGTTTTAATTTGATCCATTTTGAACATAGAGGTGTTGACTTGTTCAGCTCTAATTTACTGTATCAGAATCTTAGTGTCTTTATTAGTCCCACAGAAATGGACATTGTTAAGAAGCCTTCATAACATATTAGAGATATCAATTACACAAAGTACAATTTACAAAATTATATTGATGACAGGTGGATAACAATAAGTACAGTAACAATATTTAAAAAGAAAGTCAAATAAAATAAGAGTAAAACTTGTGGGTTTGCTATCCTGTCTCCAAAATGGTGGAATGAGCTCCCCATTGACATCAGGACAGCAGAAAGCTTACACATCTTCCGGGGCAGACTGAAAACTCATCTCTTTCGACTCCACTTCGAGCAATACAATTACAAACAAAGCACTTATATACTAATAAAGGACTGGCTTATCTAAAGCCAGTTGAGTAGCACTTGAAATGTTTTGGCTATGAAACCTGATGTACTTATATGATTCTGTTTTCTTCAAGTTTGTATCTTCTTTGTCGAACGCACTTATTGTAAGTCGCTTTGTAATGTAATGTATGTAGAAAAAGTGTGATGGCAGCCAGATAACAGTAGTGATTGCACAGTGTTTTACAGATTGTGTTACAGTAGTTAAATAATCTCATCAACTAAGAGCTAGCAGCCAGAACAAATAATAATTATAAAGCGGTATATATATATATATATATACGTATATATAGTTTACTTTTACATTGTCTTTTTCCTGTACAGGGGGAATGGAATTCTTGCTGACACACTCATAAGATTTGTTGTTGTGAATATTACTATAACCCATATCAACTTGTTATCTTGCATGAAATTAAGAGTCTTTGTTTGCTTTCTTGCTGTGTATGGAGTGTTAGCAAATACAAAGGGGCACAATAATATATTTCCTTGTTTTGATGAGTCCTGCTGTTTCTGTTTCTGGTCCCAGGTGGGCGAGGACAGCTCCAACAGGAAGTTCCTGGTCAGCCGTCTGTTCGATGTGGCAGAGGGGTCCACGTTGGAGGAGTCCTCCAGCAGCTGCATCCGGCTGGAGTGGAACAAGGGCATTGTGGGACATGTAGCCGCCACCGGACAGCCGCTCAATATCAAGAATGCTTACGAGGTAGGGTTTTCAATTATTTTCCATGCGTGTTGAACCATGTGTGTGCTTTCAGGGGCATTCAGTAGTTTGTGCTGACAGAGCACATAATTGAGGGGGAATAAATAGAGATCAAAGAAGTAGGTTTGCTGGAGGATACATCTTCACTACTGAAAAGACTCGCATACACACGTATTTTACTCATGACACTTTCAGGGTACTGACCTTATGTGCAGCAGATATAAATCCTTGGGTTGGCACATTTCTGTGAGCGGCACCAATGTACAGTGTGTGAGTGTATTGATCAGGCTGATTGTACAATTATAAGTACATCCTCCATATTTATACATATGGTAGGCTACATTTCCACTGATCTGAAACAGCATAGGTGAAGTCATTGACAAGGTAGTACATTTAGAAAGTCATTGGAAATGCAGCCACCAGCAGCCTAGCTAATGGAACACTATTTTCTGTGGCGCTGCGAAGATGTGGACCCAAAATCGGACCAGCAGAGTGATACAAGTAAATGTCCTGGACATCTTAATCTCTTCCCAACGCGATCAATGATCAAACCACCCAGCCTTTGACACGTTCCACCAAGTGCCAGAACTATTTATTAGGAATAAACTGTTTTTCATCAAGTGAAAATACATAGCTCCTACACATTTCCCATAAACCACAACCCATTTTTACATTTCTGCTTTTACATATTCAACAGGGAGCAATGTTTAATATATGCCAGATTTGAAACAGTTAAACACAAAAGATGAGCTAACAGGTTACAGTGTTGGGGTTGTATCAAAGACGTCAATGAATTGTGTTGCAGGGATATCTTTCGTTCCTCAGGATAGCACTATTCTGACCTCAGTACAGTGAAAGACCTGGTTGTCAATATTAGATCTGTGTCTGTTCTCCCTCCCCATCGCCTCCCCCTCACATTGTTCCCCTTGTCTCAGTCACCCTGCACCTCAGCAAACATTCAAACTATCAAAAGGTAAAGTTACACGAGCGTTCAGACTCCAATAACTGATGGCTCAGCCCCATGTGGAGATTATAGGATAGTTGAGTGTGTGTGTGGTTGAATTCTGTTTATTGATCACTGACTTGCTAAGTGAGTGACAGAAAAACAGAAGTACATTGGCATCACTTTGTTAGAAAAAGTGGTGGGGACACTCCCCTCCCCCCCGTAAACAATACCTGTACATACATACAGATGCTTACAATACTTTCTGGGCAACTAGTGCATTAACTATGCTACACTGCATCAAAGTGGGAGCAACAATTGATTACTATTCTCTATTCAAAATATTAATACTAATATTAAACGTGTCGAAGTTGCAATTTGCACCATATCATTTTATGGTGTTTGTGATCTCAATCCATCCTTTGTTTTCCTATCATGGGCAGTGCCTCGAACTAATGTGTTTTCAAGCAATGCTTGACTTTACTTCAGACATTTCCCCAGAGATGCTCGTTGAAGCAGATCGTATCTTCATACATTCTTTGTACTCCAATAAGTGCCTTCTGTTGAGGTGGTGGAGTAAATGACTTGTGTTACCTCCTCGCACAACAATTTGAGTTCAACGGCATTTGCAATAATTGGTCCAATTTGGTCTACGTCAGATTTTTGGAATCCAGAAAACCTCCAGAAGACAGACAGCTCCTCTCCTCAGTTCTTCTTGTGTTTCCATCTCCAGTCTCCTGTTATGCAGTGTCCATCTTTACATTCAGCTTCACATGTTATGCTACTGCTGCTACGCTTGGTGCTGTACCCAGCATGCATTTCATCGCTGCAGCAGTGAAAGAGCCCCTTCGCCACTTTTTCAACGGCATTGCGGTATATGAAAAATGTATATCATACGGCAGGGATGGGCAAATGGCGGGCCGCGGGCCGCATGCGGCCCCCACCTCCCCTTTTTGCGGCCCTCAGATTCATTTATAAACAACGTAATTAATTAAAAAATATATATATTTTAAAAAAATGTTTTACTTGTAGTACTGATACCGTCCACTAGACTCCTAGTTACGTCGCGAGCTGCGTACATGATTTCAAATACCGCAAAATAATCTGTGACGCATTTGTGTGTATTGTGTTTGTTTCCCGGGGAAACCCTCACAAGAAACACCGGCTGTTGTTATGTCTGCTGTGACGTTAAGTTTCCTCTTGTAATTATGCCTTTACAAGCTTAAAAGTAGTATCATCTGAATTTGGCGAAACAAGTTTAATATTCTTAAAACCAAGACTTTGTTTATTTGAAATCAGATGAAAACAAACTGTCACGGACCCTGCCGTGTTATCTATGATTACTACGCTTTTCATTCATAATTTCAGCGGGAGGGAGGGGGAGTGGCGCTGAGGAACAGCAGAGTGCGGGCTGACAGGTGTCTGTGTTGACATTGTGGAATACGGGGAATGCAGAGACAGGCTACAAGTGTCTTAGGTTCAAGTTAGACAACTAATGTCTGTGTTAGTGTTCATGACTTCATGTTTATGTCATCTTAATGGTTAATCTCAATACACACACATTTTCCGTGCTTTCCAATAGTTTAAAATAGTTTTATTCCACTGTTTAATAACCTGTTCAATACAAACATGCCACTTGTAGAAATGAAATAACATTTCTGTGAACTGATATTTGTTTAATGAGCTTATTAGAGGATGTTCCCATTTTTTGGGGGATGTTCCCTTTGATTGTAAAATGTCAATGAAGATGTCAGACTTAGTATATTTGTTAATAATTACATACAACACATGGAATTTTTGTGTGTGTGTGTTCCAAGTGAATCTGCGGCCCCCTGGTTGCCAGTACATCAATGATGTGGCCCCCACCACCATCAAAGTTGCCCATCCCTGTCATACGGTATAAAGTTGACGGTATTTGGTATGAAGCGGTATACCGCCCAGCACTAGCAGCAGGGTTGTAGGAGATGCTCACGATAGAGTATTAACACAGTTTGATGTAAACGTGTGACTTAGAGATACGCTGTAAATAAATGCAGTTAGTAGTACTATACAACGTATTGATCAGTTGACTTGAAACCTTTTTCCGCCCTTCCTCCAATCCCAGATCGAATTACAGCATGGTGACCTCAGTAGAATAAGCCCCTGACCTTAACCCCCTCCAGCTGTTCCCACATTGTATTTGCATAGTTGAATATTATCTTTAACTGTTTTACTTAAATAATGAAAATTCGATTGACATTTTTTTTATTTGCGAGAGTAGGATGGAGGAAACAGGAATGTGTGTTTTTGGCTGCACACTGAGTGAGATCTTCCTCTTAAAGAGTTGCGAGTGTCTTCAAAAAGAAGCGGATTTGTGTGTGTGTGTGTGTGTGTGTGTGTGTGTGTGTGTGTGTGTGTGTGTGTGTGTGTGTGGGTGGAAGAGAGAGAGGGAGAGAGGGAGAAGTATGGGGCTATGATTAAATGCATGTGTTTTTTGTGCAGTCAAATGTGTGTGTGCTTACCTGAGTGACCTCGTCTGAAATGTCTTAAATATGTCGTTCTCTTCACTTAGACTGTATTTATACTCAAAAGACAACTCAAACTGAGGTATAGACTTGGAATCAGAGGTGGGAGAAGTACTCAGATATTATACTTAAGTAAAAGTAGAAGTACCAGAGTGTAAGAATACTCTGTTACCGGTAAAAGTCTTGCATTCAAAATGTTACTCAAATAAAAGTAGAAAAAATATTAGCATAAAAATATCAAAGCTGTATGGTGCAGCTAGTTTGAATGACTTTGTATACTGCAGGGTAGCTTGTGAATTTACTCCAGGTGGAACTAAAGTCTGATTTAACACTTGATTATATTTCACATCATTCATCCACATCTGTAAAGTAACTAAAGGTATTAAATACATGTAGTGGAATAAAAGTAGCATCCAATGGAAATACTCAAATAAAGTACAAGTACCTCAAAATTGTACTTAAGTACAGTACTTCTATGGCCTTACAGATGTATAGGATCAAAGGCATATTGGCTATAATATTTCAAACGTAGTGTCTTTGGAAAGTTTCCCTCAGTGAATCAGCTCAGTGGATTATGATTCATGACCCTGTCTGTGGATCAGTAAGTGAATGCCTTGTGTCAAGAAGTATCAGGAACTGAACCTTGAGATTCCTTTTACACAATAAAAACTCTTACTAAATACTAATCAAATAATAAACAATAAGTTTAACACAAACTGATTCTTGTTTGTAACAATCTTTTTTTAAATGTATCTTGAAGTTACTTTCTTATTGAGATATGACCTACCTTGTATTGTAGGCAATGCATTTTGTTATCATATAATGTTATATTGTATTAACAATTCCATAAGCTTATCTGTTTAGATTCAGAATCAGGTTTTAAGCATACAATACATTTGCTTTGGTGTGCGATGGTGCATGCACAAACACAGTAAGAATTATTTAAAAATAAATAATAAGAAATAAAAAAATAAAAAAAAGTACAATAGATGGATATACAATTTAAAAAAGGGAAGCATTGAAAAGAAATGAGCAAAAAATACAGGAATATGCAGTTGTTTCATAAGTTTGCCCACTTACAAAGAAATTGACATTCTATAATTGTAGGATTATTTTAACAGTGAGAGTAAGAATATCAAAAAGAAAATCCAGAAATTAACATTATATAAAAGATAAAAATGTATCTGCATTTAACTGTGGGAAATAAGGGAGGTATGACTGCCACCCCTACCACAAGACCCCAATATCAGTCGTAGAGAGAAGGAGGTTTGTGTCGCCCAGCTCAACTACGGTTTCTAGAACTAAAACCAGAGTAGACTGTTGTAGTAGAAGAGGGTTCGGAAGAGACCTAGTAGGTCTACAAGTAACAGTTTGAAGTCTGCCCGGAAAGTACAAGAAGAACTCGTCCCCCGGAAGTCCGTGACGTCCTAAACTAGGTAATACCACATCACACATTGGTTATCAAAAGAACCGCTGACACCAGGGTCGACGGAACTCTAGTAATTGTTCAAGGAGGTAACATCAAGACCCGACTAGGGAATGGAAAGAGTGCTAGTAGCTATGGGGTTCCCCGGTCTAGAACACACCTC